ATTTGAGAAAGTTCTAATATCTTGTAAATGATCGAGATCCCCACCCCTAAACCATATATATTCTGGTTTGTCATGATAAAGCACATCAAATGTTATACAGGGTTAGTCCCCAGGGGTCACCCCCACCCCCTGCCATTTAAGAAAGTTCTAATATCTTGTAAGTGGTCAAGATCCCCACCCCTAAACCATATATATTCTGGTTTGTCATGCGAAGATGGTTTGAATGATATACAGGGTTAGTCCCCAGGGGTCATCCCGACCCCCTGCCATTTGAGAAAGTTCTAATATCTTGTAAATGGTTGAGATCCCCACCCCTAAACCATATATATTCCTGTTCGTCATGTAATGAACATTTGAATGACGTATAGGGCCAGTCCCCAGGGGTTCATCCCCACCCCCAATGTTCTAGTATCTTGTAAATGGTCGAGATCCCCACCCCTAAACCATATATATTCTTATTTGTCATGCCAAGATGATTTGAATGATATACAAGGTTAGTCCCCAGGCATCACTAATGCATATAACTTTACTGGACCAAACCAATTTTCACTGGACATTGCCCAATGTCAGGCGACCCTGGGAATTACGAATTATGGGAGCTTCGTTTGGGAGACTTCGTAACAGCATCCTGTTACAATCATTTCTTGTTCTGAAATTGTACTACAAGGTTCCATATCACAAAGGGAAAGCTGGAATTGAGTTTGGGGGTAATTGCCCGAAACGTTAAGGAATTGAGGGCCAAAAAGGGGCCGAAAATAAGCATTTTTCTAGTTTCCAGACAATAACTTGTGTTCAAGTGTATGGATCTCTCTGAAATTGTACTGCAAGGTACCATACCACAAAGGGAAGGCTGGGATTGAGTTTGGGGGTGATGAATCATAAGGGGGTTCAAAAAATGGGGGGGGATTTTTTTTTTTTTTTTTTTTCTTTTTTTCCTTTTTTTTTTCTTTTAAAATTTTCCATTTTAAATTGGTTATTTCTGATTTATATTTAAAAGCAAATAATAATGATATGGTAGGAGATACACACCAAACAGGATGTGTAAATTATTATATAATAAGTATTGTGCGATAGCAAGAAATTTTCAATTGCACAGTATTGCACAATAGCAAGAAATCTTCAATTGTACAGTATTGCGCAATAGCAAGAAATCTTCAATTGCACAGTATTGGGCAATAGCAAGAAATATCCAATAGCACAATATTGCGCAATAGCAAGAAATTGTCAATTGTACAGTATTGGGCAATAGCAAGAAATATTCAATTGCACAGTATTGTGCAAAAGAAGATACTTTGTATAAATTGCTTATTTCTTGATCAATTTCAATGGGGTTTTATTCTTGAATTCTTGGGGTTCTTTAATATGCTGAATCTAACCGTGTATTAAGTTTTGGATTTTGGGCCACGTTTTTAAATTGGTCCACATTGAGGTCCAAAGGGTCCAAAATTTAACTTTGTTTGATTTCATCAAAAATTGAATTATTGGGGTTCTTTGATATGCCGAATCTAACCGTGTATTTAGATTCTTAATTTTTGGTTCCGTTTTCAAATTGGTCTACATTATGGTCCAAAGGGTCCAAAATTAAAATTAGTTTGATTTTAACAAAAATTGAATTTTTAGGGTTCTTTGATATGCTGAATCTAAACATGTATTTAGATTTTTGATTTTGGGCCCAGTTTTCAAGTTGGTCCAAATCGGGGTCCAAAATTAAACTTTGTTTGATTTCAACTAAAAATTGAATATATGGGGTTCTTTGATATGCTGAATCTAACCATGTATTTAGATTTTTGATTTTTGGGCCCCGTTATCAACTTTGTCCACATTGAGGTCAAAAGGGTCCAACATTAAACTTTGTTTGATTTCATCAAAAATTGAATTCTTGGGGTTCTTTGATATGCTGAATCTAACCATGTATTTAGATTTTGGATATTGGACCATAATAGGTGAATGTCCAATTTAAAAATTTTAAGTTCTTAGACCACATTCATTCTGTGTCAGAAACCTATGCTGTGTCAAATATTTAATCACAATCCAAATTCAGAGCTGTATCAAGCTTGAATGTTGTGTCCATACTTGCCCAAACTGTTCAGGGTTCGACCTCTGGGGTCGTATCAAGCTGCGCCCTGCGGAGCATTTTATTTAAATTGGTCTTCATTGAGGTCCAAAGGGTCCAAAATTAAACTTAGTTTGATTTTAACAAAAATTGAATTCTTGGGGTTCTTTGATATGCTGAATCTAAACATGTGTTTAGATTTTTGATTATGGGCCTAGTTTTCAAGTTGGTCCAAATTGTGGTCCAAAATTAAAATTGTTTGATTTCAACAAAAATTGAATATATGGGGTTCTTTGATATGCTGAATCTAACCATGAATTTAGATTTTTTATTTGTGGGCCCCGCTATCAAATTGGTTCATATTGAGGTCAAAAGGGTCCAAAATTAAACTTTGTTTGATTTCATTAAAAATTGAATTATTGGGGTTCTTTGATATTCCAAATTTAACTGTGTATTTAATTTTTTAATTTTAAGTGCTGTTTTTAAATTGGTCTACATTAAGGTCCAAAAGGTCCAAAATTAAACTTAGTTTGATTTTAACAAAAATTGAATTATTGGGGTTCTTTGATATGCTGAATCTAAACATGTGTTTAAATTTTTGATTATGGGCCCAGTTTTCAAGTTTGTCCAAGTTGGGGTCTAAAATTAAACTTTGTTTGATTTTAACAAAAATTGAATATATGGGGTTCTTTGATATGCTGAATCTAACCATGTATTTTGATTTTCGACATTGGACCATAATAGGTAAATTAAAAAAAATTCAAGTTCTTAGACCACATTCTTTCTGTGTCAGAAACCTATGCTGTGTCAAATATTTAATAACAATCCAAATTCAGAGCTGTATCAAGCTTGAATGTTGTGTCCATACTTGCCCCAACTGTTCAGGGTTCGACCTCTGCGGTCGTATCAAGCTGCGCCCCAGCGAAGCATTTTATCTAAAGAATATTATAATAAGAAATTGCATGAGTTATGAATCTTATGTTGCTGTTTCACATAATAGTATGAAGATATTGATAAATGGAGGTGATGAATATATGAGACAGCAACCCCAGTTAGGAATTTCTGCACCTATACCATACAAATCAAAATACTACATAAGCTCGTAAATATTTAAACTGAAAATTACAGACAAATTATATAAGCTTAATTATGTCATGTATATCAGTATTGAAATACTGGTCACTGGGCAGACGATACCCTTGGGGGCCGTATATGCTGTAGGCATTGGTCAGTATAGCGACAAAAACAATTATTTCAATTGATGATAGTCACGTTTACAAGATTGTGTTTTGTTTTGCGTGGAATGCAGATTACATTGGAAGGTTTATTTCTGGTATCTGACAATGTCTGACAAAGGTTTCATACTGTTGAGTGGGGTGACACGAGGGTGCTCATTTCCCAATCCTGCTTTTTTTTTTAATTTCCCCCTCTCCCCTTCTTTTTCCCAGATACCACATTTTTTTTTACCCCTTACCCCTATATCATACATAATCCACATCCCAAAAGCGTGTCATCTCATCCCCCTAACCATTTGGTAACTGTTGAAAAAGAATGAAATTGAAAAAAAAATATGTCTTAAATTTATTTACATGTATTAAGAATCTTAAAATAATCGGCATGTATAAATGACGGTATTCCTTGTTGATTATAATTGTATATGACATGTATGGTAATCTAACATGTCTAAGGAATTATTAATACTGAAGGTTGAGTTGGAGTCTGAAAATATATTGGACCTGCTTAATTAAACTTTTCTTTTGGGCTGTAACTTATGTTAAAGCTGTATAAATATTGACCCAGATCATTAATGAATGGTCTTGTTTGTTTATGAACAAAGGCACAATGTTTAAATATTGACTCTATATTAAATAAACGTATCTCGATCTTTCTACTTGACTTCATGAAAACATTTATTGGAAAAATTTAAATGAACTTGACTAATATTTAGTTTCTTAAGAGAGATATGTGAATAACATCAATAAAAGTTGTTATGGTTTTTTAAGGTCATTTTTGTTCTTTTGTTTATATGTAGTTAGATAATTTTATAATCAAATAAAGACACACTCTTGCATTTTTGTATGACCTTGTTAGAAAACATATTAAAATAGGCTTGAGTAATAAAGGGATACAATACATCCAAAAAAATCAATTGAAGAAATGTTGAGTTAAGAATGAATAAGAAATAAATGCAATAGTAACAGCATGTCTTTTCCCCTTAATTATGAATATAAAAATAAGAAGATGTGATATAATTGCCAATGAGACCACTCGCCACCAGAGACCACATGAGTTAGAAATTAACAACTCATACCCCATAGTAAGCTATATTATAAAAGGTCCAAGATAAATGACAAATGTAAAACAATCATGACAATTCAAACAAGAAAACTAACGGCATGATTTATGTACAAAACAATAAACAAAAACAAATATGATATACAGGAACAAGCAACAACCACTGAATTACAGGCTTCTGACTTGGGACAGGCACATACAGAAGGTTAGATTTCTTCAGAATTTTTATATGAAAAAAGAAAGATGGGGTGTATGCATTGATGAGACAAAAACTCAACATGACAATACTAAAATTATCTCGAATTAAGCATACCGTCTTCAACAATTTGCAATTCTCTGTCTATACCATTTTCATGATTTTATTGAGCATATAAACTGCTAGAGCCTAGTTAAAGTGTGTATCATGTGTATGAATTTAAAAGAGACGAACACTAAATTCCTTGATACATACAAATACATGAGCCAAGTAAAGTCAATGTTAGAATTGTTTTGTGAGAACTGAACTTTTCCCCTATTAAGGGATGATCCCTGTATAAGAAACAGTAAAGAGAAAAAAACATGTTATATTATTATGGTAGAAAAGTAAATATTAATTGTTTCAGAGAACATTTTTAACTTCAAGATGAATAATAAGATTTATTTGTTTTTATAGGTTACAGGAAATGAGATGACATCGGTGATGGGGGCAGAGGGCCCCGGGGTGACACAGGTAAATATTAGATAAGATTAAATAAGTGAATGGGAGGGGGGGCATAAAGACACAGGTAAATATGAAAATAAAGGATCAGTCTTGTAATGATTATTGATAGGCCAAGATTTTAGACTTACATATAATTGAATAATCTTTTATAAGATTATTTTACACATGCACATATGTGGTAAAAAGGTCAAAACTATGAGAGCCGCTTTAAGTATGATAAAAAGTTAGGGATGTTTTTCATGGTTGCAACCACTGAAGAACAGTCTTTCTGTGAAAAACACATTCCATAAACTGCTTAGCATGATGCATGCAAAATAACCTTTCACCATCCTCCAAACTTTAGGATTAAAATTTTTTTTAAAATCAAGCCAAAAGATCATTAATATGTAGACCTTTGGTTAATGATCTTTGAATGTTCAAAAACAAATAAAAGCAAGACGGAGTTTTGTTAACATTGTATGAATGACGATGAAAAACTGTTGTGTAACTTAGATAAAATATTCAACGACATTTCATAAACAGACTCTTCAGAAGAAAAGTTTGAAAAATCTTCCAAAATTAAATTTCTGAGGCACTTAGGACAATGGTCCTTACAAAGTTACATCTACATGTTACACAATTCTATATATACATATAACATGTATAATATAAACTACGATATTGAAATACAACTTGTTCATGCTTTTTTCGTCATGTTAGGTCTTAAGTTTAAGGTGGGTTGTATAAATTAAAAGACACCATGATTATTATCTTAATTTTAAATCTTGAATTTGACAAAACCTCGCTGACAATGATCTGATGAAGGAAGATATAGAGATATTAAATACGACAATACACATACGTCTTATTATAATTGGCAATCTTTAAACGTACTTTGACACCTATATCTCTTGACAATCAGTAATTCCTGTTTTGTGTAAATGCAAAAAATAGTCAATATTTGGTTACGTAATGGAAGTTTTGGCCAACGTTCAGTTGTTAGAGCCTTACTGGCGTGTGCCATTGTCTTTTAACTATGTAAAATTTTAAATATAAATATATCATGCATATATATGTATATTAATTTTGTTACAGTGTATATTATTTATTTGACGCTCATATATTTCATGTATATGTTTAAGACGGATGAGATCAATATATAAGCATGAATGTATTCAATATTTTCTTTTGAACTAATGTAACTTATTAAATATTCTCTACAATCGATAGTCATGGAGCAAATATTATCAAAGATATTTTCTTGGCTAAAATCATTTCCCTGTCAGGCTGTCATGGCTGTGAAATATTGATGTTTTTATGCAAGGAAGAGAAAAAAGGTATCCATTAATATTGTAGAGATAACACATACACGATGGTATGTTTCTGAAAATTGTGATTTATTTTTGATTCAGCTTGTGCTACACCAATTCCACTTGGTCATGTTGGTTGAACTGACTTGGTGAAATCTGGCCTTTCCCTGCTGACACGACTTTAAGCAAACATCAGTCAATATAAAGACACCATCCTTCCATTTGATAACTATCATATGATATCATCTTTAGCTTTTACTTTTAGAATTATTATTTATAGAACATATGATATTAAAAATGTAGTATGCACTACTTGGACCTTATTTATGTTATCATGATTATATTAGGTCCCTGTGCAATGATATTGATATTGAGTCTGACATGTCTGATATCAATTATTTCAACATTATCTACAGCTGATCAAGTATTTCCTGTAAGACAGTTGATCAGAGCTAGATTTGTTGTTGCCAGAATATATATAAGTCATATCAAATGTTCAGTATCTATTTATCTGGTCAATTTTAGCACAAATCATAGGTGTCAGGGTGTAGCGTTTTGTGCAGTTTGTGTTAAGTATGGTTAGTTGGTTACACTTTCAGTGGCGGATCCAGAGGGGGGCGTAGTGGGCGTACGCCCCCCCTTTGCTTGCACTTTTTTTTTTTTTTTTTTTTGTAAAATGATTAATCAGACTAGACTTCGCGAACTTTGCCATTTCCCGTGTATTTAATTTTTATGCGACAATTCTTTACTTATAAAGATGTTTTTCGCTCGTATTTACTGTAATATATTATTGATTATGTCAAAGTCATGTGATTCGCTACGGTGGAGTTGACCAGTACGTCGAAAAAAACGTCACTCAGTCATTTTGAAATTCAAATTACAGTAACACATTGCTTAGGCTGAGGATGACAAGCATGAAGCCTTCAAAGCTACAAAGTATTGAGCAAGAACGTATTGACTTCTATTTCACAATTCCACCCAACAGAAAGTAATACTCTATTACACTCTCATGAAAAAAAAAGTTCCACAGCAATATTATTTACCTACAAAAACATGATTAACCCCACACGCCCCAACCCATTAATAGCATTGTTGAATAGTGATCCCCAGTCAGTAAGCTCTAGATATAGATTTAAAGTCTAAGGTACGCACCATTTGATTTGAGGGGGCAGTCTGAGATATTTTAGAGAAAAAATTCTGACCCTGATGTTTGCCTTAAACAAAAATTCTGGCCGTATCTGTATTGAAAACAATAATCTTGTCCACTTTTTTGCTATTAGAAAAAAATATTCTCAACAAAATTATTTAGCATTAAATGAACATGATGAATAAAAAACGGGCGTAATTTTTTTTTGGGGGGGTTGCATGTGAATCCCATATCTGACCAGAATGTCTGTTTCGCCGAACTGATATACTGAATACTTTTTTCAAGGCCCGACTGCAACCTGCCTGCTGGGTGTGGCCTATATGTCTCCATGTGTCGACCGTCATTCACAACTTCATTGTCATTTCCGACTCATTCGTAGCCTTTGGTTGATTTGGAACCCCTCACTTCCCTTGTTGGTTGAAACATTTCAACCAAACATTTGGATAAAAATTGCTTGTTTGTCTTTCTTCATGTCGGTCGTATTGTAAATTTCATTGAATATCCGTATATCTTGTTTACAAAAAGAAATCTGTGAGGTTATGCTAACCATACAACAAACGAGAATTTTCCATGTCCATTTTTTACTGACAAATCCCACATCAAATATATTTATTAGTACATAGCTTTGGATCCATCCAATCATTTTATAATAGACAATTAATAGAGAGAATACGGCACCAAAAATGTCCAACCCCTACACTTTAACTATAAATTGCATTTTACACTTATTTTATGTTTTTAGCCAAAAAAAGGTCCAAAAAATTTTTTGCCTCGCTCCACTCGCCGAACTTTAATACTATGCCCCCCCCCCTTTCCAAAATTCTGGATCCGCCCCTGACTTTAGAAATGAGATCCAAATTATCATAAACAAAAGTACAAATGAAGGATTTTACAATGAACATGATGAACAGAAAATAACTTAGTATGCATGATTAAACCTATTAGAGGTGTCACAGGAAAGAAAAGAGGGGGAGTGGGTTGAAGGTACTTCTTTCGGAAAATTAATTTGTGGTGATCATTTTAAAAAGATAGCCAAAACCATTATAGAAAATATTCTTTAAATTTAAAAAAATTGTATGCATGATGGGGTGGAATAACAACTGCATTTAGAACACCTTTCATTTATTTCTAAACCATCCCTTATCATCTTATACAATTTTAAGTTGTTTTTTAATTTTCATTCCTAGATGGAGAATGGCGGGATGGATAACGTTGCCGAGATTGAGCAGGAGTTGGAAGGAGTCACACAGATGCATGTGGCTGCTGTTAATGGAGATAAAGCCTTACTTGCCAAACAAATAGTCTGTAGGTCATTTAAGTTGTCTTATGGATAAAAGGAGATGTGGGGGTATATGTCAATGAGACAGAAACGGAAGATAGAAAACAATCAAGAAACATTTAAAGCTCAACATATAGTCTTCAACAATAGGAAAGAAACGTTACTAAGTTGGAAAATGTGTGTATGATCCATTTATCCTGTAATTTTGAACAAAAGAATATGCTTAAACTTAACTTTGTATCACCCTATGAAGAAAAGTTATGTATAAAATGAACAGACTATCAACTTACAAGGACCTGCTATCAACACCAAAGCCCTATTAGGAAATTAGGCATTAAGAACCAAAGATTAATATTTATAATCATGAATTGTGAAATTCTCATTAAAGCATGGCAGGGCTAAGCTTGTGTTTTACAGATTTCAACTCACTAACTTTTTATACGACCGCAAAAAAATTTTGTGGTCGTATATTGGTATGACGTTGGCGTCGTCCGGCGTCGTCGTCGTCCGAAGACATACTGGTTTTCGCACTCTAACTTTAGTTTAAGTGAATGGATCTTTTTGAAATTTGACCATAAGGTTAAATACCACAAAAGGAAGGTTGGGATTGATTTTGGGGGTTATGGTACCAACAGTTAAGGAATTAGGGGCCAAAAAGGGGCCAAAAATAAGCATTTTCTAGTTTCCAGACAATGACTGTGGAATGGTGTATGGATCTCTCTGAAATTATACTACAAGTTTCCATACCACAAAGGGATGGTTAGGATTTGCTTTGGGGGGTTATGGCTCAAACCGTTAAGGAATTAGGGGCAAAAAAGGGGGAAAAACAAGGTTGTCCTGGTTAATGGACAAATACTTTTGTAAAAACATAATTTAAAGCAGTGTAAGGGAGATAAATCAAATACATCATTGAGATTATCTCCCTTACACTGCTTTTAAATTATGTATAAATTAATGGTTAATGAACAATAAAGATAATTTAAAACAGTGTAAGGGAGGTAATCAAAATACAACGTTTTGGTTACTTCCCTTACACTGCTTTTAAATTATGTTTAAAGAAATGCATATCTATAAAGGAAGACCAGTAAAAATATCTGCAAATGTTGCATCTTTTTTTTTTACAAAAAAATCCATATGAAAGATTTGACAGTATATTTTTAATTCTATTATAAAATAGATTAAGTTAGCACTATGGTAAATTTTAATGGGTAATTATGGTTGCCAACTCCATTGGAAATTTGAATTGAGATTATGACCATATCTTGAGGGAAAGAATTTTTTTGGGGAAAAAAGGGGGGGGATAAAAAGAAATTGTGGGGGGTCAATTTTTTCTCATTTCAGATTTCAGAAATTAAAAAGAATTATTCTTCAAATATTATTTTTTTTTCAAATTTCAAATATTGAAAAATTTCAAGAAGTAATCTTTAATTGCACAGTATGGCGCATTAGATTTGTAAAATCTTTGATCACATTTATTTATTTGTTATGCCGAATCTAACAGTGTATTTAAATTTTTAATTTTGGGTCCAGTTTTCAAATTGGTCTACATTAAGGTCCAAAGGGTCCAAAATTAAACTTTGTTTGATTTTAGCAAAAATTGAATATATGAGGTTCTTTGATATGCTGAATCTAAACATGTATTTAGATTTTTGATTTTTTGGCCCAGTTTTCAAGTTGGTCCAAATTGGGGTCCAAAATTAAACTTTGTTTGATTTCAACAAAAATTGAATATGTGGGGTTCTTTGATATGCTGAATCTAACCATGTATTTGGATTTTTTATTTGTGGACCCCGTTATCAAATTGGTTCATATTGAGGTCAAAAGGGTCCAAAATTAAACTTTGTTTGATTTCATCTAAAATTGAAGTATTGGGGTTCTTTGATATTCCAAATCTAACCGTGTATTTAGATTTTTAATTTTTGGTCCTGTTTTTTAAATTTGTCTACATTAAGGTCCAAAGGGTCCAAAATTAAACTTAGTTAGATTTTAACAAGAATTGAATTCTTGGGGTTCTTTGATATGCTGAATCTAAACATGTATTTAGATTTTTGATTATGGGCCCAGTTTTCAAGTTGGTCCAAATTGGGGTCCAAAATTAAACTTTGTTTGATTTCAACAAAAATTGAATATATGAGGTTCTTTGATATGCTGAATCTAACCATGTATTTAGATTTTTGATTATGGGCCCAGTTTTCAAGTTGGTCCAAATTGGGGTCCAAAATTAAACTTTGTTTGATTTCAACAAAAATTGAATATATGAGGTTCTTTGATATGCTGAATCTAACCATGTATTTAGATTTTTTATTTGTGGGCCCCGCTATCAAATTGGTTCATATTGAGGTCAAAAGGGTCCAAAATTAAACTTTGTTTGATTTCATCAAAAATTGAATTATTGGGGTTCTTTGATATGCCAAATCTAACCGTGTTTTTAGATTTTTAATTTGGGTCCCGTTTTTTAAATTGGTCTTCATTGAGGTCCAAAGGGTCCAAAATTAAACTCAGTTTGATTTTAACAAAAATTGAATTCTTGGGGTTCTTTGATATGCTTAATCTAAACATGTGTTTAGATTTTTGATTATGGGCCCAGTTTTCAAGTTGGTCCAAGTTGGGGTCCAAAATTAAACTTTGTTTTGATTTCAACAAAAATTGAATATATGGGGTTCTTTGATATGCTGAATATAACCATGAATTTAGATTTTTTATTTGTGGGCCCCGCTATCAAATTGGTTCATATTGAGGTCAAAAGGGTCCAAAATTAAACTTTGTTTGATTTCATCAAAATTGAATTATTGGGGTTCTTTGATATTCCAAATCTAACCGTGTATTTAGATTTTTAATTTCAAGTCCCGTTTTTTAAATTGGTCTACATTAAGGTCCAAAGGGTCCAAAATTAAACTTAGTTTGATTTATGCAAAAATTGAATTCTTGGGGTTCTTTGATATGCTGAATCTAAACATGTGTTTAGATTTTTGATTATGGGCCCAGTTTTCAAGTTTGTCCAAGTTGGGGTCCAAAATTAAACTTTGTTTGATTTTAACAAAAATTGAATATATGGGGTTCTTTGATATGCTGAATCTAACCATGTATTTTGATTTTGGACATTGGACCATAATAGGTAAATTAAAAAAATTCAAGTTCTTAGACCACATTCTTTCTGTGTCAGAAACCTATGCTGTGTCAAATATTTAATAACAATCCAAATTCAGAGCTGTATCAAGCTTGAATGTTGTGTCCATACTTGCCCCAACTGTTCAGGGTTCGACCTCTGCGGTCGTATCAAGCTGCGCCCCAGCGAAGCATTTTATTTTATCTCTATCAGTAGGATCCTTGTATATGAATTTAGCTCAATTTTAAACATCAAGTATTTTGCTAATACTACTATTGTACCTCTGTCTATCCTTGATATGGTAACAGTGACTCTCTTTTGTTTTGTTTTTCTCAAGGTTTTAGAGATTTTCCTGCCATATTCCCAAACATAATCTACAATCAACATCAATTTTTGGCCTACTTTGCTATTTAAATGTTGAGAATAGTATTTTGGATTATTTGTTCCATTTTAGCAAGTACTCAGGAATTAGATACAGGTGATCAGTTTGGGCGGACTCCTCTCATGTTCTGTGTGTTGGCTGATAGACTGGATTGTGCTGAGCTGTTATTGCGAGCAGGGACCCAGGTTAATAGATCTGACAAAGGAGGTAGAACAGCACTACATTGGGCAGCTCATAAAGTAAGTACCAGACAAGAATGTGTTTGGACTGCTTCATCAAATAATACATATTGCACATACATGTAGGTAAGGGTATGATAAAATGTGTTAGTTGGAGATCTGTCTCTTCTTCTTTGTGTGATATACTTGCCTTTATACCTTATATAGCACACTAAATTGTTTAAAGGCTTTTTGTGAAATTGTTTTTAAATCACGGATGAAAAGGAGTTTGTTTACATTATTGAAATATGAGGAAGTTTATTTTACTTTTGTTTTTACATCCTTGGTGGCCAAGTAGTCTTAGAAGTTTATTTACATGAATCTCTAGCCTGTCAGTTTGAGGTTTAGAGTTCTAACCGATCTTAATTGACAAGAACTGACAATTATCCTGACGAGGGTCTTTTTGCCTCCTCTACCAATAAAAACATGCCTCCTTGATGTAGCAAATGTTGCTGAAAGTGGCGTTAAACACAAACGAACAAATAGTTACATCCTTGTCTTTTTAATGATTCATGTTGTGTGTTACTTTTGAATTATTTGCAGGTTCTAACAGTTCTTTAATAAGCAATAGTCGACCTATGCCACCCTTAAAAATTCTTTGTTTGATGTTGCCTACCCATGCCTTGTAGGGTTGGGTAAAGTAGGTAGGTAAGTTTTTTTGTTTTTGGCTTACAACATTAGTCACATGTTTTAGACAAGAAAACAACCTTAGAGCAGGAAAAATCATCTAAAAAGAAATTGAACCGATTTATGCCATAAAATATTTTGTGTAGGCTGCTTTTTAGGTGGGTAGGTACTAGGCAACATCAAACAATTTAAATTTTATTTTTGGCCTTATCACATATTAAATAATGTTTGTTTTTTTTATTACAGGGCAATAATCGATTGCTGAAGTTATTATTGTCCAAGGGGGCTGACATCAAACAGAAAGATAATGAAGGTCAAACAGTTCTCCATCTGTGTACACGACATAAATCTACAAAATGCATGAATTTGTTACTACGGCAACTGTCCCCAGGGGAAATTGATGATCAGGACAAGAAAAAAGTATGACCAAAAGACCCAAAATAGTATGGTAGATTTTCAACTCTGTTGATAAAACAGATCGTTTGTAAGGAGTAGAAGGGAAGAATACAATGTTCTAATTCTTGACAAAAATCAAGAATAAATTGTATTAATTTACGACATATACGTGGAAAAAAACATAGCATGGGAAGAGCACTTTTATTGCTGTTTTTCATCTTAAAATACATGCAGTGATGCTGTTAACATTGTGCAAACATTCACATCACTGTAAGCTTAAGATTAGCCTAGTACTGGATTTAGCAAAATTCTTTGCTAGATGTGCAGGTTAATATCAACAAGGATATAGATCTAAAAATAGGCTGACTTTAATCACAAAAAAGATGTGGTATAATTGCCAATGAAACAACTTAGACCAAATGACATAGAAGTTTAGAAGTTTACAACTATAGGTCACCATACGGCCTTCAACAATGAGCAAACCCCATACCGCATAGTCAACTATAAAAGGCCCCGAAATCGCAAATGTAAAACAATTCAAACGAGAAAATTAACCACCTGACATATACATGAAACTTGTAATGTTTACTCTTTTTTTTTCTTAATCTTGGCCTCCGATAAAGCTTATTTGAAAATTTTGTCTTTTTTAAGTAGAAATGTTTAAAACTTGTGAGTGTGATGATAAAAAAATTTACCAGTTAGAACCATGCTTTGTATAAAGATTGTAATTGGATGGAAGAGCAATATTCAGTGTACTGGTGTACAGAGTAATTATAAACTGCACATTTTACTTGAAACACAATAATTTTTCTTATGAAATTAAATTAAAGAAAAAAATTATAGGAGATGGATATGAAGTATTTCAGGTGTAAATTCATGAAATTACATAAGAGATAAATATGAATTTCATTAATATTAAATGTACAAAGCATAATTAGTTAACTATACATTTTGATCCTGACTACAAAAAACAAATAAAAGATAGATTTAAAAAACAAAAAAAACAAAAAAAACTATACATTTTGAAAAATGTGTTTGAATATAATGTTCTTTATATTTCCTTTCAGAGGACAGCTTTACACTGGGCAGCTTCTTATGGCAATGTTGAACATGCAAAACTTTTAATTAAGCAGGTAAGATGGGAGAGGATTGTTAAAGTTACACTTCAAAACAGTAGATAGTGTAGCAAAACTGACTAGATTTACATACTGGTAAACAACATCGCACAGGCACTTGTAATTGATGAATTTTTGCAATGAAGAAATTACTGGAACTGAGTGTTGAGTATTTCATGGAAATTCATGTGTGATGGGGACACCATAGTGCAATGATCACGCTGCAGTGCAATGGTCTTTGCTAAAATGTGATGGTCTATATAACATGTGGTTGCTAGTTTAAAATCTGCAGATGTGCTATCATTATGAGAAACTGATTTTTTAATAAGTTAATTTATACATTTGCATTCATTAATTTATTGTCCATAAAACGCTTACAGCATTTCAGATGATATGTTTGTGTATGGTTGAAATAGAAAAAATTGTTAAAAGAACTCATTCTGGAATATGCCTGTTTACCAAACAAATAAGGATTATTGATAACCAGCTGACTGTGCAGTATGGGCTTTGCTCATTGTTGAAGGTCGTACGGTGACCTATAGTTGTTAATTTCTGTGTCATCTGGTCTCTTGTGGAGAGTTGTCTCATTGGCAATCATACCACATCTTCTTTTTTATATATACTGTTTGAATATCATCTGAGAGTACCCTGCAGTGCTAATATGAAAGTTCATCTATACCTACGTATATCTCTTTAATCAGTATTTGCAACAATTGAAGTACAAGAATATAGTTCATAATATTTACTATGTCTTAGTTACAGCTTCATACTAAAGAAGTGATTATCCTATTTGATTTTGCTACATACTTTTAGACAATTTACTTAAAAACCTTAAAAGCTGCTTTTTACAAACATATTGACTTCTACATCGACTTGTGAACATGGAAACATTGAAAATATAGTTTATGTAATCCATCGCACTTCAGCATTATTACCAGCGCAAAAGAAACAGCCTGATTAATTTACAAAAAAAAAAGATAGCAACCAACAACAACAACCACTGATAAGGCTTATTGATGAGGTTAAGCAAATCTTGTCTGCCTTATTATTTTTTCCTTTGCTCAACATTGGTACAAGTGTCAATCTAAAATTGCTTGTTAGTTAAAATCTTAAAACTTTGTTCCTTAACTTTTGATATATTTCTTTGTTTCAGGATTCAAACATAGGTATACCTGATATCGAAGGTAAAACTCCTTTACATTGGGCAGCTAGCTGTATGGATCCAGAAGCTCCTAGTTGTGTCAGACTTATATTGGTAAGTGTTTGGTAAGATAAAACATTAGAATCATAGTCCATTATCTGAAAGAAGGATAAAATGGTATTTATTTTTGGAAATCCTGATTTTTTTTTATGCCCCACCCATCACCGGAGGATATTAAGTGTTACCCATCCTTACGTCCCAAAATTGGTTTCCGTTCTTTAACTTTAGTTTGCCTCAACCAAATGTTTTGAAACTTATAGACAATGCTTATTACCACAAAACACAGATCAATTTCGAATCGTTCTCCAGTTATGGCCATTTGTAACGTTATATGCAGTGGGGGCATCATCTGTGTCCCATGGACACATTCTCCATTTATTTTAATATTTTTCTCTGCCATACGTTGGATATTTTTGAATGCTTACAATACTCTATAACTTCACATTTTTTTTATCATGCAAATTTAAAGAAAATAATTCGACTTCCATATTGCTGTTGAAAATGTGTAAAAGTATTATTTTTGCAATTGCACGACTTACAGTTTTTTGCTTGTGATAAGATCCTAGACCCTTCCTTTAATTATATATAAATGGTTGGTATATAACTGTTAAAAGTTCTTTGATTTGTGGGGTAAGTAAATGATCACCACAAATTTTGATACCTATAAACAAAAATGCAAAGTTTTTCAGTAGATTTTTGCATGAAAAAGTGAGCAAATAGAAAAACAGTGCTAACCATTGTTTCTCTCGCAATTTATGAAACTTATATAATTATAATGTGTGAACAAAGGTACTTTACAACAAAAAGTAAAGGTTTTCAAAATTTTAACATTAATGAGCTTTAAAGTACTGATTGTTGATAAATTTGAAAATGTCTGCCATTGTTTGATGCTTTAACACCTTGTCGCAAATGTCACAGCATTTTATCATGAGTAGCATAACAGGTTTCAATAAGTGGAGCAGAAGCAGCTGACCTTATGGATCAACTAGATCATCCTCCCGTTTTTGGAGGAGTTGATGTTGCTCAATCTTTTGGGTCTACGAAATAATCTGTAGACTATTTTATCATTTCATCTTTTTCTTTTTGGACCATTTGGATGAAAGTCATGCTTAGACTTACAATTTAAAAAATTTTAATATTTGATTCTTTTCTCATCGCATAAAGTACAAATAGAAAATATCTTGCATGTAGCTATCATAGTAGATGCATTCCCAACATAAATTTACAATTTTTTCTATATTTTTAGGAAACGACACCAACTGTTATAAACTGGCCAGATTATGAAGGGAGAACGGCCTTACATTTAGCAGTGGCTGATGGAAATGAATCTATTGTAAAAGTGCTAGTAAGTCTGTAGTCAGCCTTTGTATCAGGCTCATTTTTATTGAACAATTAACTGTATTCATCTTTTAAGACTGCCTATCTATTGAAAAGATTGGTTTAGAAAAAGTAATCTAAGAGTCTTTGAATGTACATGCAAAATTACTATGACTGGTTAAGCGTAGATATATTTAGGCATTAAGTATATTGAAGAGATATATCATCTCCATGAGGAATATTTGCATGAAATACGAGTAGAGAGAAGGTGAAATTTCTTCTCAAAATTTAGATTTTTTTTAAAATATTCCTCCTAGGCATGATTTATCTGTTTAGTTACACTGAATTATGTAGAGAGGTGATTATTTTAAACATTATATCTTTACTATCAAGATGTTAACAAAAACAGTTGAATTCAAACTTCTCCATAATGGGTAATTCAAATGGCATATACATTTATGCAAATACCACAGCAGAGAGGGAAAAAAAAGACATCCCTGTGTGTAAAAAAGATCGGTAACTTTTGTACATTAATCAAACAGTTTAGATTATAAAATAAATGTATTGTCAAAACAAACTGTAATATCTCACACATTTAGAGAACTGTTTTGTAATATAAGATGTTTTAATTTTTTATACTTGTATCAGTACAAAAATGACAAAAGCATATAACAAAATCTAAATAGCCTTGAAATAATAATTCCCATAAGAAAATAATAACCTAATGAAATGATTTGAAAACTATATTTCAGATTTCTGTTGTAAACAGTAATATATCAGCTTTAGATAATATGTTTAGAACACCTCTACATTGGGCTACAGTCTTAGGTAAGAAGCTTTAGCCCTGGTTTCAGGAATAGTGATTAAGTTGATAGTTTCAGTTTCTCAATGTTGGCTTGACATAGCTTACAGTCAAAGGGAAATAACTACAATAAAAAATGAAAAAAAATGTCAAATGACTACAACAAAAAATTGTTGAAACTCTTGTTTTCAAATGTTATGTTAATAAAATTATCTGATCTGTGAAATTATATGTTCAGGGTTGGCAAAGTATTACCCGCCCGGGAAAACCCAGGTCCCAGTGTTTAAGTGAATTGTAAATTTAAATTGCTATGCAATCATATTGTTAAATAAACACCCTACAGGGTCCTGTCATTAACACTCATAGAAATGAAAAGGCTGATTATTGTTATATAAACATATCTGTGTTCTAATCTGAATAATTACTTATTAATTAGTGATGTACATATAAATTATTTAAAAGTAATTTTTCTTACATGTAATTGTTAATTCTTTATATTAGTTATATATATGTATTTGAAAAAAATGAATTCTTTTGCTTTATGTTAACAGTTTGACCAATCTAGATAGAAGGATGATTTAATAGATTTTTAGGAGAATTATTGAGAAAGGCTTTTTCCATTAATATTTGTCTAATGTGTCTTCATGTACACTTGTCTCAGAGTTACTAGAATAATACTTTCTCAAGTGTATACGCTTGTATTATAAGACTCTCAAACAAGTAAACTTATTTATAAATCAAAATATGTTTATAAATATCTTAAATGTATTGCATTTGTGTTTGATCACTGAATCTTCCTTAAAATTCAGGCCAGTATTTTATATTACCCAGTATTGCCCAGTATTACCTGGTAAAACCCAGTAAAACCTGGTAAAACCCAGTAAAACCCAGGTTTTCCCAGTATTTCCTACTGGACTGGGCAATACTCATAAAACCTGGGTTTTTGCCAACCCTGCTTAATTTAATGTTGTACGTTAGCTAACAGTCAAAGGGAAATAACCGCAATATAAAATGCAAATATTTTGTCAAAAGAAAAAAAAGAGTTAAATTTTGCTGAAACCCATATATGTTTTCCCTTGTTATGTTTTAAATTGTCTGACCTCTACAATTTTAGGAACATAGCTTACAATCAAAGGTAAATAACTGTAATAGAAATGAAAATATTTTGTCAAATGACAAAAAAAAAAGAATTGAATATGGTTGAAACCCATATGTTTTCACATGTTATGTGTAAAACTTCAGGCATATTTTCATTTAAACCATTGCTTTGGTGATGAAAGAAAATCCTTATAATCAAGCTGTATGGAATTTGTATAGATCTTTCCTTAAACCCTTAGAATTTATTTTCTAATGAATTTTACTACATTTACTTGAAAAAGCAAAATTTAAACCTGGACACTGCAAATACAAATATTGTGTTAATTTATTCAGGTTTTAAAAACACACACTCAAAATTAATTGCATTATATCTTGAAAAAAACTTGAAGTTGCACATACAAAAATTTGGTTTTACAATTATATTTTCTTTCAAAATCTTTGAAATTTTTTTTTTTTCATTGCTCTGGACCTGCCAGGTGCCAGATACAGTATTTGATTTGATATTATTCAATCAAACATTGAAGGTCTGTCAGATGACATTTTCCTTACAAAATAATAAAAAAAGATCTTGATCTAAAACTTGTAATATGTTGGAATTTTGTATCTATATTACAGGTCACTCAGGAATTGTTTCCCTGCTATTAGACAATGGTGGAGATTATGCTTCTGCAGATGCAAATGGTGCCACACCCCTTCATTATGCTGCTCAAAATAATCATTCTGTAAGTTTTGTGTTATTATATTTTACTCTAGGAGTGAGAGCTATATTGTTGCATTCACTTTGACTGTCTGCTCTATTGTTCTTCAGATTATCCATTTATTTTTGGAAATCCTGATTTTTTTTTATGCCCCACCCATCACCGGAGGATATTAAGTGTTACCCATCCTTACGTCCCAAAATTGGTTTCCGTTCTTTAACTTTAGTTTGCCTCAACCAAATGTTTTGAAACTTATAGACAATGCTTATTACCACAAAACACAGATCAATTTCGAATCGTTCTCCAGTTATGGCCATTTGTAACGTTATATGCAGTGGGGGCATCATCTGTGTCCCATGGACACATTCTCCATTTATTTTAATATTTTTCTCTGCCATACGTTGGATATTTTTGAATGCTTACAATACTCTATAACTTCACATTTTTTTTATCATGCAAATTTAAAGAAAATAATTCGACTTCCATATTGCTGTTGAAAATGTGTAAAAGTATTATTTTTGTAATTGCACGACTTACAGTTTTTTGCTTGTGATAAGATCCTAGACCCTTCCTTTAATTATATATAAATGGTTGGTATATAACTGTTAAAAGTTCTTTGATTTGTGGGGTAAGTAAATGATCACCACAAATTTTGATACCTATAAACAAAAATGCAAAGTTTTTCAGTAGATTTTTGCATGAAAAAGTGAGCAAATAGAAAAACAGTGCTAACCATTGTTTCTCTCGCAATTTATGAAACTTATATAATTATAATGTGTGAACAAAGGTACTTTACAACAAAAAGTAAAGGTTTTCAAAATTTTAACATTAATGAGCTTTAAAGTACTGATTGTTGATAAATTTGAAAATGTCTGCCATTGTTTGATGCTTTAACACCTTGTCGCAAATGTCACAGCATTTTATCATGAGTAGCATAACAGGTTTCAATAAGTGGAGCAGAAGCAGCTGACCTTATGGATCAACTAGATCATCCTCCCGTTTTTGGAGGAGTTGATGTTGCTCAATCTTTTGGGTCTACGAAATAATCTGTAGACTATTTTATCATTTCATCTTTTTCTTTTTGGACCATTTGGATGAAAGTCATGCTTAGACTTACAATTTAAAAAATTTTAATATTTGATTCTTTTCTCATCGCATAAAGTACAAATAGAAAATATCTTGCATGTAGCTATCATAGTAGATGCATTCCCAACATAAATTTACAATTTTTTCTATATTTTTAGGAAACGACACCAACTGTTATAAACTGGCCAGATTATGAAGGGAGAACGGCCTTACATTTAGCAGTGGCTGATTGAAATGAATCTATTGTAAAAGTGCTAGTAAGTCTGTAGTCAGCCTTTGTATCAGGCTCATTTTTATTGAACAATTAACTGTATTCATCTTTTAAGACTGCCTATCTATTGAAAAGATTGGTTTAGAAAAAGTAATCTAAGAGTCTTTGAATGTACATGCAAAATTACTATGACTGGTTAAGCGTAGATATATTTAGGCATTAAGTATATTGAAGAGATATATCATCTCCATGAGGAATATTTGCATGAAATACGAGTAGAGAGAAGGTGAAATTTCTTCTCAAAATTTAGATTTTTTTTAAAATATTCCTCCTAGGCATGATTTATCTGTTTAGTTACACTGAATTATGTAGAGAGGTGATTATTTTAAACATTATATCTTTACTATCAAGATGTTAACAAAAACAGTTGAATTCAAACTTCTCCATAATGGGTAATTCAAATGGCATATACATTTATGCAAATACCACAGCAGAGAGGGAAAAAAAAGACATCCCTGTGTGTAAAAAAGATCGGTAACTTTTGTACATTAATCAAACAGTTTAGATTATAAAATAAATGTATTGTCAAAACAAACTGTAATATCTCACACATTTAGAGAACTGTTTTGTAATATAAGATGTTTTAATTTTTTATACTTGTATCAGTACAAAAATGACAAAAGCATATAACAAAATCTAAATAGCCTTGAAATAATAATTCCCATAAGAAAATAATAACCTAATGAAATGATTTGAAAACTATATTTCAGATTTCTGTTGTAAACAGTAATATATCAGCTTTAGATAATATGTTTAGAACACCTCTACATTGGGCTACAGTCTTAGGTAAGAAGCTTTAGCCCTGGTTTCAGGAATAGTGATTAAGTTGATAGTTTCAGTTTCTCAATGTTGGCTTGACATAGCTTACAGTCAAAGGGAAATAACTACAATAAAAAATGAAAAAAAATGTCAAATGACTACAACAAAAAATTGTTGAAACTCTTGTTTTCAAATGTTATGTTAATAAAATTATCTGATCTGTGAAATTATATGTTCAGGGTTGGCAAAGTATTACCCGCCCGGGAAAACCCAGGTCCCAGTGTTTAAGTGAATTGTAAATTTAAATTGCTATGCAATCATATTGTTAAATAAACACCCTACAGGGTCCTGTCATTAACACTCATAGAAATGAAAAGGCTGATTATTGTTATATAAACATATCTGTGTTCTAATCTGAATAATTACTTATTAATTAGTGATGTACATATAAATTATTTAAAAGTAATTTTTCTTACATGTAATTGTTAATTCTTTATATTAGTTATATATATGTATTTGAAAAAAATGAATTCTTTTGCTTTATGTTAACAGTTTGACCAATCTAGATAGAAGGATGATTTAATAGATTTTTAGGAGAATTATTGAGAAAGGCTTTTTCCATTAATATTTGTCTAATGTGTCTTCATGTACACTTGTCTCAGAGTTGCTAGAATAATACTTTCTCAAGTGTATACGCTTGTATTATAAGACTCTCAAACAAGTAAACTTATTTATAAATCAAAATATGTTTATAAATATCTTAAATGTATTGCATTTGTGTTTGATCACTGAATCTTCCTTAAAATTCAGGCCAGTATTTTATATTACCCAGTATTGCCCAGTATTACCTGGTAAAACCCAGTAAAACCTGGTAAAACCCAGGTTTTCCCAGTATTTCCTACTGGACTGGGCAATACTCATAAAACCTGGGTTTTTGCCAACCCTGCTTAATTTAATGTTGTACGTTAGCTAACAGTCAAAGGGAAATAACCGCAATATAAAATGCAAATATTTTGTCAAAAGAAAAAAAAGAGTTAAATTTTGCTGAAACCCATATATGTTTTCCCTTGTTATGTTTTAAATTGTCTGACCTCTACAATTTTAGGAACATAGCTTACAATCAAAGGTAAATAACTGTAATAGAAATGAAAATATTTTGTCAAATGACAAAAAAAAAAGAATTGAATATGGTTGAAACCCATATGTTTTCACATGTTATGTGTAAAACTTCAGGCATATTTTCATTTAAACCATTGCTTTGGTGATGAAAGAAAATCCTTATAATCAAGCTGTATGGAATTTGTATAGATCTTTCCTTAAACCCTTAGAATTTATTTTCTAATGAATTTTACTACATTTACTTGAAAAAGCAAAATTTAAACCTGGACACTGCAAATACAAATATTGTGTTAATTTATTCAGGTTTTAAAAACACACACTCAAAATTAATTGCATTATATCTTGAAAAAAACTTGAAGTTGCACATACAAAAATTTGGTTTTACAATTATATTTTCTTTCAAAATCTTTGAAATTTTTTTTTTTCATTGCTCTGGACCTGCCAGGTGCCAGATACAGTATTTGATTTGATATTATTCAATCAAACATTGAAGGTCTGTCAGATGACATTTTCCTTACAAAATAATAAAAAAAGATCTTGATCTAAAACTTGTAATATGTTGGAATTTTGTATCTATATTACAGGTCACTCAGGAATTGTTTCCCTGCTATTAGACAATGGTGGAGATTATGCTTCTGCAGATGCAAATGGTGCCACACCCCTTCATTATGCTGCTCAAAATAATCATTCTGTAAGTTTTGTGTTATTATATTTTACTCTAGGAGTGAGAGCTATATTGTTGCATTCACTTTGACTGTCTGCTCTATTGTTCTTCAGTTTATCCATTTCTCCTACAAATAGGGGCCTCTGTGGCTGAGAATCTAAGTTCGCCTACAAATAGGGGCCTCTGTGGCTGAGAGGTCTAAGTTCTCCTACAAAAAGGGGCCTCTGTGGCTGAGAGGTCTAAGTTCTCCTACAAATAGGGGCCTCTGTGGCTGAGAGGTCTAAGTAATCGAACTACTGTATCACAAGCCTGTCAACACTAAGGTTGTCAGTTCGAATTCATCACAGGGCAGGTGCACTCGACTCAATCTGAATTGACTAGGATTGTCAGTTTTCCGACACCTAAGGTCAGTTGTTCTCTCTGAGCACTCAGGTTTCCTCCACCAATAAAGACTGACCGCCATGAAAGAGCACGATAGTGTTAAAAGTTGTGTTAAACACCAATCAATCAATCCAACAAATATGTCCCTTATAATTATCTCAGCTACTATCAAACAAAAAGACTTCATTTCTGGTCTGCAGCCAATTAGTGATGTGTTTTAATGTGTGAGGGCTTTTCTTCTAGACACTGACTTTCTGTTTTCTAATGCTTTGAAATACAAGATGGGGGATTTTTAGCACGATATCACAAGCATTTGTGTTAGTATTGATATCATTAAAGATTGCACATTACTTAATTATGCTGCTCAAAATAATCATCCTGCAGTTGTATATTGCAAAACCCAAGGAAAAGTATTTTTCCATGAAGGGTCAACACCAGACTGGCAATGTGAAGATTTCTTAATAGGTGATGCTGTAGAAGTAGAACATGTAGGACCCACAATCATGTCATTGTCAGTTTCTGTGTTGGGTTTTGTAACCCACTGGAGCAGTGTACTATTAACCTTATGACGTTTGACAGGAGTTGACATTTTGGAACATTATGATTTCTAATTTTTCTGATCACCATTTTATTAGTATTACATTCGTATGGCTTCACCCAAACATGACATCGAGAAAAGCCTGGGGAGAACACTGCACTTATTGTAAATAAAAGATGATGAGGGGTACAAAAACCATAGATAAAGCATTACACAAAATATATTTAATGCTCTCTATACGATTTGCAATATTAAACAATAACAATTTTATGTGAATGAAGGATATATCAAAAACACAACAGATAATAAAAGTTGGTAAAGGACAAAGCGCTGTGACCAAATGAGAAAAGGTAGAAACAAACATCAGTTTCAAAAATATTACAGATCAAAATGAAAATAAACAACATGAACCAATGGGTTTGGTGCCCTGGAAAAATAAGCATCTCCTTCTGCATCCAGTAAATCATGGCCGATAGAAGTTCAATCATATTTGTATTCATTGGTTGATGGATCAATTTTAGGATACAGTAGCTGTGTTCCTGACATACAAGATAGTAGTAGATGAACCAGATGTGGAAGGGAGGTCAGCGTTTATGTGGGCGGGAGGGAAAGGTGCTGATGATGTGGTCACAGTTTTCTTACGGTCTGATGTAGATATTCAACAAGTTGATAAAAATGGTGGCACAGGTTAGTATAATGATAATTATATGAATATGATGTGGGGGTGTTAGTCAATCAGAAAACAATCCAACAACACAAAAAACAGAAGGCATGTTGAAGTCATCATGTTGTCTTTAATTTATGTTAGACAAGTGTCTACACAATATGTTTAGCTCTGAATTAACCTGAATATTAACAAACTGTGAATAGAATTTAAGAAACGAGCACTTAAAGACAAAAATACTTAGTTATAACTGAAAAAACTAATAAAGAAGATCCCTGCTATGAATGAGCACATTTATATGTGATAAGGTGAAACTATAGTTTTTGGGATTGGAGTTTTATCTGTAAAGCTTAATCATATGGTAAAAGCATATTGACTGAAAAAATGAGGAATGAATATGATTAGCTTAATTTTGCATATTGTTAGCCAATTGAAAAAAAGATAGTTGACTTGTAAAGCCAAAGCTACCAGATTTTTCTGGAGGTTTTTAGAATTTGTGTAAATTATCTTATTTTTTTTAAATGATCTTGACAATGTCCATGTTCCTGTGAACTAGTTATTAAGGCCTGTTGATATACTTAGAAAATAAGTAAGTTAGATTTTAGCTCATATACATTATTAAAGCAATGTAAAGCCTGGTTTATATTTGCTTCATGCCTCTCTCGACTTCAAATTTTTTTTATACACATGAGGAAAAAAATTGTTGATACATATAGTATATATATATAGTAAGGATAAAAATGATCTTACCAAAACACCTTATTGCTATTTGTCTGCCATTACTGGACATCAAAAAGTTTCCTGTAAATTTGGACGTCACAATAGAAAATGTCTGACGCCACAAAGGAAGAGTGATTGTTGTATGACGTCAGTAGTTCAAGAGTAGCAGATTCTCAGGTCAAGTGTTGCAGATATTCAAATAGCAGTAAGGTCTATAATAACATTACTTTGAAGAAAAGATGAAACAAGACATATTAGAATTTTGTTTTCAATGTCCTTATAGTAAATTGGCATTAGAGTTTGTCCTTGTATCAAAATTTCGTGGTCAAATCTTGCTCCACTTAATGTAAATCTTTATCTTAACTGAGGCAGTTACTTTGATTTCTTGAATATGTGCTTCTCTTTGTTGTACAAGTAAAAAAAAATGGTTTTCGCCACAAATGACAACAACTACTACAAACTGCCTACTATAGGCAGATTTATTTGTAGCTATATAGTTTAATGATGATGTTATGTTTTTGTCTCTCATTTTAGGGCAGCTTTGGGAGGCCATGCATACATTTGTCAAACTTTAATTAAATATGGTGTGGATCCAAACTTCAGAGATCATAATGGGTAAGATATTATTGATATACATGTAGTGTGTTTTTGTAATTTTGTTTTTGTTAATCAATCTTTTTTCAATGTATGTTTACCTTTATTAATTGCTATAAAATTTCTTTGAATTTATTAAAAAAATCTATGTTGAATTCATACAAGTTGATAAAGCTTTGATAAATCTTTTATATGATATTAGATTTTTTACAGGACTGTTTTTGGGTCATTGTGTTGTCTCAATAATTCTTAGTACGGAATATTTAGAAATTATTGCGATGTATTTATTAATGCCAAAAAATGTGACAGTTATTGGTTCGCAAAAATAAAAGCTTGCATTCATCATGTTCATAATTTCAGTAGTAATTTTCCTTCATAAAATATTTGCACGCAATTGCATTAACACTTTCCTTACCGGATTGAACTGGTCTATGCGTTTCTATGACATTATAAAATATTGCACGAGACCGTTACCGGCCCGAATTAATTTCCAGATAGGTGCGCGTTTTCGCTTATGTTTAGTATATGGGGGTGTAGGACAGTTGCAGCTGTCACAAGACAGGAAACGGAATGAAAACGGTTGAATAACATGTCAACCCATTTGTCAGTAACAAAATTTCAGAATATTAAAGTTGTTTAAGTACATTTTACCATGCGAGTAAAACGAAACAATAAGTTTTACGGACAAGCGCTCGCTAAAAAAAGTAACTACAAGTCAAATAACAAGTCAACTTTTATGAACAGGTGAAACAATTACTTACTTTAATAAGAAAGGAGTCCCAGAAAACATGAAAAGTTGTTTTATGCAGATAACCACTGGTTGAAAGCAGACTGTTTTACTTGATAATTGATTATTCTCACAGTTTTAAAAGTTCAAATAATTTTCTCCAACAGTAATTTAAGTAAAAACTCCATGATTAGAATAAATTGTCAACACTAAATGTCTCAAACGCTCTAAACATCCAAAGAACTTTCCAACAAAGAAACAAACAGTTTAAAGAGTAACTTGACAAGTTAATAGCTAACAGTATTTTGCCATTGTGTGGTAGGCTGTAAAGCACTCTGGTAGGCACAAGTGTTTACCACATTCAAGACAGCCATACATTGTTTGCTTTCTCTTGTCCTTTTTACCAGCGGAAACCTTCATCCAACACACATGACACCATGACTTTTTCCCCACAATGTTTGGCATATGTCTCTCTATAAGACGTGATGGTACTGGGGCTGCAGATTGACGACCTCTAGTACCAATGCCACAGTACTCATCTATCAAACTACTGGCAATTTGACGTGAGAATTGGAGATATGTCATAGCAGGTGAGTTTCCAACGGTTTGATGATTTGGACTCAATAAGAAAAGCCTGTATGCATTGTATTTCAAAATTTAAAGAAATTTAAAGAACACCCGTTTATACCACTTCTGGGTTTTTTGGTTAAAGCAGTAGTACTGAATATACTGGTCCCCTTTGTCAACACCTCCCATGTATTTAGTGTAGTCGACTATGATTTTTGGACATGGTATATCTGCTTTATCAAATTGCCCATCTATTTGAACCAAACACTGTACTTCAAACCTGGAATGATCATGGATTGTTGAAATTGCAGTTACAATTTTTTTGTCTTTCCATAAGACTCCAGAGATCGACTTCCTTTGAAAAAACTTCATGTCCCCCCTATTATCAATACCAACAGGGTGTTTTAACATGAAATCAGCTGGTAAACTGCTTCTGTTTTTGCGGACTGTTCCACATGCTGCAGTTTGATAGTTATCAAACAGGTCTTGGAATAGTTTTGGTGAAGAAAAGAAATTGTCAACATATACATGATATCCCTGCCCAACAATATCAGCCCCCTCTATACATTTTTTTACAACATGTTCACCCAATTGGCCTTCTGTCTATCAGTTTTTTCTGTATAAACATCTGTATAGCAGATGTATCCTGTATTTGAATCTGCTAATGCCCATATCTTAATACCCCATTTAGTTGGTTTGGCTGGCATATATTGTTTGAATTTGACCCTTCCTTTGAAGGGGATCATGCATTCGTCTATTGAGACCTGGCGTGTAGGGACAAATTCTCTTTTCATTGATGTGTTAAACATATTCAAGATGTTTCTTATTTTATAAAGTACATCTTATGATGGATGACCTGGTTGTTGTGCATTATGGTTGTCACTGAAATGAAGGTACCTCATGACTTGCATAAATCTATTCCTGGGCATTGTTTTACGGAATATTGGAGATTCCATGAAGGGATCAGTTGACCAGTATAGTTTGGTTTCTGGTTTAACATCAATTCCCATCAAAAAGCAAAGACCAATAAAAGCTTTAATTTCTGGCAAACTAGGTTTTGACCAGGCAGATTTATTACTGTCTGGGTTTTCAGCAATTTGTTGGATGGCATAACTTTCAGTTTCATTAATTATATGTTCAAAAATTATGTCATTCAAGAAAAGTTTGAAGAAATCTATTGGACCCTTATCAGCAGCTAAAATGGTAGCTGGGCCTGTTGCCCTTCCATCTGGACCTCTAGGTGTGAATAAATGAGGTAAACCCCTTTCATGAATATCAAAATTGTGATGCCAGGTGTTTGCAACATTGTCTATATCTGGGACTACTTGGTCATTGACATTATAGATAGGAATGGTCGGTTCTGTTTCTGAGCCCTCAGACTCGTTTCCTGAAGTATTGAATTCAAAATCATCCCCAATTCCTTGATCTAGTAATATTTGTTCGTACCGTTGAACAGCCTGTTGAATTTCATCGACTTCAAAACCTAAGAATTCCTCGTCTGAAGAATCGGACATTTCAATTTTGTTCTTTGGTTTACAGACGACATTTTTTAATCACATGACATATCACATGTATAAAGAAGGGAACCCCGAGTTTTAATTGGACGATATAAGGTCAGAGTTATAAATAAAATGAAATGTGAATACACATTCCAACGCTCAATGCTAGTTGATAAGAAAAGAGTTGTTGAATATTTATTTATTAAAAAAATTGAAGAAAATATCAAGATCTATGCGAGACATACTCGGTTTTGTATGTTTTAATTACACATATAGGTATTATAAGTTACCATTTGTGAAAATATAAAATCATAACAATATGCAAATGAGTTCCAAGAATCCTCGTTGTGACTTTAGTGCACCAGGGAAACACATGGTAGATTGAAAACACTCACATTTGTTTTTAATTTTGACTCTGATTAAACTTCGAGACAGGATATTTTTTTTGCACCTGCTTCGGTATTTCAAACAGGTTATTTTACATTTCAAACGGCATCTATGCCCTAATCAAGTAGATATTACGAAAGATTGAACATGCACATCGTTAATTCGACCCAACATGCATTTACGTAACATTTTAGGTTCGTGCAGTCCATTTATTGTCGAATTAATTCTACGATGCCTGAAGGCATCGTTGGGCACGCGACAGGCGATGCCTTGAGGCATCGTTGGGCGCGAGCCAGGCGATGCCTCAAGGCATCGTTGGGGATGAAAGGGTTAATTAAATTCCACATTTTTGCTAGAAGTCAAGGATTTGCAATAATGAATTAATTTCTAAATTTTACAGTAATATATTGCTTAATCTGTATAAAAGCTTTATGATGTACATGTAACAATAGACTTTCATGAAAACTGTGAAGGATGTTTTGGAGATAAACAGGTTAACAAAAATTTTTGAGTTATCCTATTAGTAGCAAAAATTTCTACCAGAACATTTTGCATTGGTGTAAATTTTATTTGTGCATGGTATATATATAGCATGAAAAAGACTTCCTTTTGAAAATACTTTTAGTGGACAGAATGTATTTACTACGTCTAATTTCACAGGACAATTTACCCTACATACTGTAAATTCAGAAATTTTTACATGCTATCATCATTGTGATTCAACGTTGAACAATTAACACAAATGCAAGATTGATTATTGCAATACATGTATCATGAAATACTGCATAGAAATAATGCTCTCAAAATTTAGAGTGTGAGTTTTTATTTTCAAACTTATCCCATTGCAAAAGTGTCTGAATTTACCATGTATAGATAAATCTTTTTTCTTCTTCAGACGAACACCTCTACAATGTGCAGCTTATGGTGGCTATGTTAATTGTATGTCTGTCCTTATGGAACATAAAGCTGATCCTAATGATCAAGACAATGAGGTATTTTATTTTTTTGATAGGCCGCTCAACATAAGAAATTTTAATTATGTTTTCATGAATCACAACCTGATAGTCAATTCTCAATAGTTAACTCCTGTATTCTGAATTGTCATATCTTTTCACAAAAATAATAAGGGTTAAAATTGATTATAAGACATGTAAGATATACTGAAATGGTTCATGACTTTCTAGTATTATTTCTCATAAGAATTTTTGTGAAAATAGGCCCATGATATTGATCTGGATATCATGGGAATTAAACTATCATCCAATTAAATTTTCTATTACAAACATATATTATATATGTTGTTAATTCAACCATATGCATCAAGTTGCTAATATTAATCTATTTAAGAGGGATTCCTACAATATATAATTTTTTTTTATTGAAACAGAAGCCAAGGTTATTATAGTGTTGAATCAAAATAGTATAGCTGTGTGCACAAAGAGGGATAACTCTAAGTAAAAAAGAAATTGTGAAACTTTCAACTAGCTTATCTCTAAAATAACATATAGTAAAACTCAAATTTACATATTGTTTTGTGTGTTTCAGGGAATGACAGCTCTACACTGGGCCTGTAGTAAAGGCCATCTTGATTCTGTTAAGCTTCTGATGGAGTATAGAGCATTTCCTAACCACATGGAGTTTACTGAAGATAGGTATTAAAACAGGAATTATTTCAGATCATGTAACATCTTGCAGCTAAGAAAACATCAAACACAGAACAAAATAAAATCCATTATAATATTAATAATAATACTTATAAAAGTAAAACAAACACAAACTGAAAACTTTTTATTTGTAAGTATTAGATAAATAATACAAGAGATTGGCAATTATTGTGAAATCTAGTAATGTAATGCCGCCTCAGGATTTCATTGATAATGTTCAATTTGAAATTAAAAATCTTATTGTCTCAAAAATCACAAAACAATATTTCAATAATACCTTCAAAACCTTATCAAGAAATTATTAAGAAAAGATTTAAAACCATTTTTATTCAGCAAAAAAAAAAGAAAAGAAAGAAGAATAAGACCTAACAACACTACCCTTCCTTTTATGACGTTTGATTTTTTTATATATCCTCTACCACTGCTCATAAAATCTTTATATTTAAAGATATGTTATTTTCAAACTTTTAAACCATATCCGGTAAAATACTGAAAATGAAAAATAAAAAGAGAAGGAATATGTCTGTACATGAAAAAGTTGTTTTAAAAATTTAGAAAGAGTAGTATATTATTTCAGTAGATTATATGGACATTAAATGGATCTGTCAATCTCTTGTATTATTAATCTCTTGATTGAAAAAAAAACAAAAAAACACTGTTAAGTTTATTGGTTCTTCTGTATGCAAAAGGTACATTTTAGTCTTTAACAAATAAACAGAACAAAATATAAAGAATAGAGAAGTTGGGTGCTTAAATACAAAAAAATAGAGAATAAGGGGCAAAATGTATAAAGAACAGAGAAAAATGGCTTAAAAGTTAAAGAATACAGAATTGAAGGACCCCATCTAGATCCTCTTATATCAGGTTATTTTTGCATCAGGATTTGTTCTTCGTTTGTTAAATCTTTGCTGTGTTTATTATTTGCATGTCATGGCCTTGTACAATTCATTTAAATGAACAGGGAAATTTTTGGAGTAGGGTAAATTTTCTTTGTAAATGTCAGCCCTTATTGGCATGTTATCTAAGACTTGTAAACAAATCTCCTTCAGTGTGAAAAAAAAACATTTTCAGAATTCTGATTAAATTTTTTTTTTTTATGAATTTTTTTTTCTGTTACAGGTACACTCCATTGGATTATGCTTTGATGGGGGAGCACCATGATGTGGCACAGTATATGATTGAACAGGGGGCACTGTCGATTACGGGTATTCAAGATATTGCAGCTCTGAAAATACAGGTATTAATTTTTCACTACTGATTGATGATACAATCTTAAAATAAAAAGGTGACCATGAACCAATAAACATATATCAAAAAATGACCTCATGGATTTTACAAGTTTTTATGACAATACACCTGTAATTAGATTTCCGGTCATTGACCTCTGTATTGATTTTTTACATTCTTTTATCAAGCATGTTTCCCTAAGATTTTCATTGATCACCAGAATAAATAATTAGTGATGCTTTGTGTTAGATTATGAAAAATTATTTAAAAGGTTTTATAATCAAGTAACTTTAATCATACATTAATGAGCTTGGTTGTGCATAAAGTGAGGATTAAGTGAGCAACTCAAAACTGCTCAATCGGTGTCTTTTAACTTTTGTCTTCTCTTGCTGAAAACGATAAAAAAAATTCTAAATTTTCTAAAATCTAAGAAATTATTTACTTATGTTATATAAGGGTTGTTTTCTTTCGACATGCCTTTGAAACAAATTTTTGCCTGGCTGAAAAACTCTTAGCAAAAATTGTTTCTGTACAAAGAAATAACAAAGAGACAAAAAGCATAATTAAATTGTCTGGCCTTGACAGAGTCGAAAAGCGAGACATAGGTATGCTGTTTCCGGCGTGGCGGCGTCAACAATGTATTAGTTTGTGATTAGGTCTAGTTTATGGTGAACCACTAGTGGTAGGTCAATGATATTTGGTATGCAGTTGTATTAGCATTGGCACATCTCATTACCATGGAGATTATTTGGCCCCACCCCCTCAGTCATGGTCTATTGACTTTGAAACTTTGCTTAGTTTACATGTATTAGTTAATGATTAGGTCAGTTTATGGGGAACCACTAGTGGTAGGTCAATGATATTTGGTATGCAGTTGTATAAGCATTAGCATATCTCATTTCCATGGAGATTATTTGGCCCTGCCCCCTCATTCATGGTCTGTTGACTTTGAAACTTTTGCTTAGTTTACATGTATTAGTTTGTGATTAGGTCAGCTTTTGGGGAACCACTAGTGGTAGGTCAATGGTATTTGGTATGCAGTTGTATAAGCATTGGCATATCTCATTTCCATGGAGATTATTTGGCCCAACCCCCTCAGTCATGGTCTATTGACTTTGAAACTTTGCTTAGTTTACATGTATTAGTTTGTGATTAGATCAGTTTAAGATGAACCACTAATGTTAAGTCAATGATATTTGGTATGCAAGTTTCATTTCCATGGAGATTATATAACCCCACACCCTCATTATGGTATATTGACTTTGAAACTTTTTCATAATTTACAAGTTAATGTTTGTGTTTAGGTTTGTTTAAAGGGAATGGCTTATGAGATTTCAGTGGTATTTGATATGCAGTTGTATTTAAGCATTGGCACATCTCATTACCATGGAGATTATTTGGCCCCACCCCCTCAGTCATGGTCTATTGACTTTGAAACTTTGCTTAGTTTACATGTATTAGTTAATGATTAGGTCAGTTTATGGGGAACCACTAGTGGTAGGTCAATGATATTTGGTATGCAGTTGTATAAGCATTAGCATATCTCATTTCCATGGAGATTATTTGGCCCTGCCCCCTCATTCATGGTCTGTTGACTTTGAAACTTTTGCTTAGTTTACATGTATTAGTTTGTGATTAGGTCAGCTTTTGGGGAACCACTAGTGGTAGGTCAATGGTATTTGGTATGCAGTTGTATAAGCATTGGCATATCTCATTTCCATGGAGATTATTTGGCCCAACCCCCTCAGTCATGGTCTATTGACTTTGAAACTTTGCTTAGTTTACATGTATTAGTTTGTGATTAGATCAGTTTAAGATGAACCACTAATGTTAAGTCAATGATATTTGGTATGCAAGTTTCATTTCCATGGAGATTATATAACCCCACACCCTCATTATGGTATATTGACTTTGAAACTTTTTCATAATTTACAAGTTAATGTTTGTGTTTAGGTTTGTTTAAAGGGAATGGCTTATGAGATTTCAGTGGTATTTGATATGCAGTTGTATTTAAGCATTGGCACATCTCATTTCCATGGAGATTGTTTAACCCTGTACATTCAGTCATGGTTCATTGACTGAATATTTGCATAACTTACATATTAAAGTATTGCTATTTTAATTTCAACATTTGCATTATCAAAATAACAAATAGGCGAGACATATCTCTGTGTTAACAGTTTATTATAAAAATAAAAGACAATTAAAAACAGATACTTTGATCTCAGTCCAGAATATCAATCACCGAACTATATGTATCTAAGTTTATTTTAGCCTCACCAAGCTATTAAAGCAAGAATTGTGTCCCTTGGTCTGTCAAACATCTGGTATTTGTTTGAGTCCAACTACAGGAATGTCAAAATATTTCTCTGGTCCTTCGAGAGTTGACTGTATATGCAGCTAACTGACCATGATATAACATGTCTGAATGAGCATATGTTAAAGATGTTAATAGAAAATTATCAAAAAATCTTGTTAATATGACTTGCAACAGTAAATTGACTTAAATAATATTGATAAAAAATCAAATCATAAGTATTGACTGTTTTGGTCTTCCATTGAATCTAGATAAGTTATAGTCATCTCCCCTTGTTAGCAGAACCATTAAAACAAAATTTGAATGTACAGTTTATTTTATTATGATATGTCAGGAACTGTTGATTGAATTTCTCTGAACAGTAATTAGATTCAGATAATATTGATAGAAAGTAAAATCAAAAGTATTGACTATTTTTTTGTCTTCCATTGAAACTAGATAAGTTAGAGTCATCTCCCCTTATGTGCAGATCCATCATAAAAAAATTGATGTGTTTAGTATAATTCATTATAATCTGTTAGGAGCTGTTGATTTTAATGTCTTAAAACAGTTAATGGATTCTGATAATATTGATAGAAAGTAAAATCAAAACTATTGACTATGTTTTGTCTTTCATTTAAACCAGAGAAGTTAGAGTCATCTCCCCTTGTTTGCATTTGCAGAACCATACAAATATTTGAAGTATAAATTTAGTTGATCAGTAAATGGATTCACATTATGTTGAGAGAAAGTAAAATCAAAAGTATTGACTGTTTTTGTCATCCATTGAAACTAGATAAGTAAGAGTCATCTCCCCTTGTTTGCAGAACCATTACACAAACATTTGAAGTGTGAAGTATAATAAATTATAATCTGTTAAAAGCTGTTGTTTAATTTCTTTTAAACAGTAAAAAAATTCCAATAATGATATTAGAAAGTAAAATCTGAAGTATTGACTGTTTTGTCATCCATTGAAACTAGATAAGTGAGGGTCATCTCCCCTTGTTTGCAAAACCATTAAAAAAGTGTGCAGTAAATAAATTATAATATGTTAAGAGCTGTTGATTTTAAGTTCCTTGATCACCTGAAGGTGTCCAAATTATATTGTTAAACAGTTATGTAAAAATATTGATGGTTGTCTTCCATTGAAACTAGATAAATTAGAGTTACCTCCCCTTGTTTGCAGAACCATTGAAAAACAATGTTTAATGTTTGAAGTATAATCAAGAGTTGTGGATGTAATCACTTTGGAAAATAAATGGATTCTGATGATATTGATGAAAAGTAAAATAAAAACTATTGACATTTTTTGTCTTCCATTGAAAAGAGATAAAGTCAATGACAGAATCAATGTAGGACTGATCTCCTTTCGTCATGTCTTTTTTCTGAAACTCAAAAATCTTTCTACTATAAAAGGAAGCACCTTTGAGATTGCTCTTATATCTTCTATAGTGATAACACTGTTAAAGCTTTATCAAAGCTATGAATGACTTTAGGTTTTTAATAAAACGAAAAAAAACAACATTTTGATTAGATCAACTTTACAATATTTAAAGTTGATGATTTATGGAGTTTTTTTTGTCAATTGATCATCAATGATGACCTTATTGTCGAAATATTGAGTTTTGCTACAAGCTTTGTGTTAATATTGAAAACACTTCAAAGAAATTTCGGGTTACTTCCCCTGTTTAATCCTGTTTTAAGTTATTCTTCTTAAAATAATGTGAATTGATAAAACAATATAAATTAAATACAAATTGAACATAGAATCATAAAAGGAAGGCAATTAAATGATTTTGTATGCCTTAGGACAAAAAAAATAATAATTTAAAAATCCCTTAAAAGAATTATACTTCTATCCAATGTTTGATTTGAAATTGATAAGAAATGTATTGAACTAATGGAAGGGAAATGTGCATACATGGAACCACATCTTTAACACTAAGGTTAAACACCTGAAACAGAAATGATACTGAAAAAACTATGCAAATGTGAAAGATGATGAAAAAGGAAAGAAACAAACAAACACACCATGTGTAGGATATAACCATATTAAACGAAATAAAATATATCTATTAACTCTTATATGTGTTTTGTAGATGAATAAATAAACAGGTCATATATTTCACTTGAAAATGTCGTTCACGCAAAATCTCCCACTCAGCTGTCATAGCTGAGGGGGAGATCTCCCTCTTTGAAGGTTTCAGAGGTTGGCAGGTATGAGCTAATGACACAATAAAAATGTCTCTTAGGTAATATGTGATAAAAATCTGAAGTGTCCTTTAATTATAACAATCCATGAATTTTACCACTTCAATACAAAAATAGTTTAAATGAAAAGGAGGTGTATTTTTAGGTTAATTCAGTTTTTACAGTACAGTGCAATCAGATTAGAGTTCTTTTTTTATTGTTGTAGATTACTGTCATATGATGAATCAATCTTTTTTATAAAATCTTGCCCTTCACTTGTTGAAGTCATGAAGTAGTAAAGTCAATAATTCATGATAGTTGAAAGTAGGAAATTTTTTATAAAAAGATTTCATAACTTGGAAACTGGTTTTTAATGAGGTTTTCCCATGAATGTTACATTGTTTAAAAATAGTGTTTGCTTATTATTTATCTTTCATTAAGGAAGTTCTTTGGGAAGTTGTAAAAATTAACATTGAAAAATTTGACATTGGAATAAAATGTGAATTTTGATTGATTCTAATTGTTTAGGATTACTAAAGATGTGACAGTTACTCTGACAGTTACTCTGGTTGTTATTTATTTATGTGTCTTTGACCTTAATACTGCAAATTGAATTTGGAACAAAAGTCACCAATAATTGTTAATATGCTGTCTTTTTTAGTCCACATTCAGAGGATTTCGTGTCAGAAAAACTTTCACTGAAAGAAAACGACTGCTGATGAAGCATGAACAGCTGAAGAAAGAAGCTGCAAGGTGATTATACTTTTGATATTAATAGACATGATAGAGGACTTTCAAATTAATTCATTTTTGCATTACATTTCCAATGTTACAATGCTTATGTTATTACATCATCGTAAGAATCGGTGTGCAATGAAGTCATTTACACAAAATAAAAAATGACTTCACTTAGGGATGTACACCTCTGAGGAGCCAAAAATTTCTAGAATTAAACTTTTTTTCTTAACCTGATTTTTGGGTTTATATGACTGTAAAAAAATAATTGGTGAAGAAAAAATCATATGGTGGTGCACTTCTTTTTTTGCTACGGCCCTTTGAAAGTATCCATTTTTCATCAATTTTTACCTATTTTTGGGCTATTATCGTGAAAAAAATCATAGTTCCACAATTAAACTTTTTTTCATACTTTCAATAAAGATGAAGTTGACCAATTTGAATAAATTTAATTCAAAAAAACTATAGGTAGGTGTTAATATAAGAAAGTTTTATCATATTTTGATGCCATGCTGTCAATTTTGTAAATTTGTGATTTTGCTTTGTTATAGGTTGCATTTCTTTAAATATTGACAATGCAATTTCCCATAGGAACTCCTTTTACGGCTAAAACTGTACCACTTTTACTATGAAGTTTTGAAAAATCATATCCTAGAATGTAAAGTTCATATGCACTACAATTTTTTTCAAAGGTCAAAATATAAGGCTGTGCGGCATATTTTCAACGTTTATATGCCCCGAAATTCTAAGAGTTTAAACTAACACTAAATTTTTTAACTATCCCTACCTTGACTATAGGATTACCACAGATTTCTATATAGACAATATGCATATAAAATAAAATAAAATGTATATTTACTGGTATATTTACTGGTAACATTCCCAAGTTATGTCTATGAGATGAAACCTAGAGATCATAACTGGGAACCAGTATGTAAACAAAATTAATTATCTATGAATATTCTATATCTCCCCAAAAGAGGGGTGGTTTGAGAAACAGCTGTATTTACCTGAGCGGGAATTTCTCGCTGCATTGAAGTCCTGTTGGTGACCTTCTGCTGTTGTCTGTTCTATGGTCGGGTTGTTGTCTCTTTGACACATTCCCCATTTCCATTCTCAATTTTATGTCTTACAGGATTAAAAATTCCGCTGCATGTGTATTCTTCTTGCTTTTATTCTTTGTGTAGTTTTTAAAATGCATACATTGAAAGACCAATTCGTATATGTTAACTTTGGACTTCTCTCTTTCTCTCTGTTTTTTGTTTTTTTGTTGTTGCTGCCGTGCCTCCGGGTAGCTACGTGTTTCGTACCTGAATCCTTCTGGTTCCTGAGGTTGCTGCTCAATATATCTCTTTAATTTACTGCTCATTTCTTCTTTATAAACGGAAGTTAGAAAACGGAAGTAGTTTTGTTGTCAATGAAACAATGAAATTGACATCTTTTCCCGCTAACTGTCAATTTTATTAAGGACGATTTTTCAGTGTTTTTTGGGGGAAATTTTGTTGCAACAACTAAGGATGGTATTATCTAGGTGTATGTATGTAATTATTTCAACCCTGGGAGGGATATAAATGTAATTTCCAAATAATTTTCTTGAGCTGTCAAAAAAGCCGCCTCAATCGTAACAGCGCCACCGGAAGAAATTATACACTGTCCAACAGTGCCCTTGCAATCTGGGTTATTGTGCTAAAGTGCCCTTTCAGACAACTAGCACCCTTCTGCCCTGAGATTCAAGCTGGAACACTTCAGGTTGTTACTGATAGCTTTTTGACAAATTGATTTAAATGGTATGCTAATGTTCTTTTTTCAAACTTCTTAATGTTAATACCAAAAATGATACCTCCTTTTTGAAATGCACAGTCCATCAAATGTCTGTTTTTCAAATTCCGACCTAGTCCGAGATTACTCTGACGTCCAACGGCTGTTTTGCCAGACAAGCTGGGGCCGTGGGACCCACGGCCCCAGCTTGTCTGGCAAAACAGCCGTTGGACGTCAGAGTAATCTCGGACTAATTCCGACCCTGCAAATCTTATCACAAAAAATAAGAGTATCTTAAGTCATTTTCACAAAGGCGGTTGTAAGATTTTTTTTTATCTTAAGAGTATTCTTAAGTTTTTATCTTAAGTAAAAACTCACGACTACTCGTAAGATGAACAATTGCATAGCAACCTTGTTTCACTTTCGTTTCACATGCGCAGTTACAACTTCTGATTATCACTTCAATCCAAAATGGCAGCACAAGGACAAGGTACTGTTTGTTTAAAGTAAGTATTGTGCTGCAAGAAACAATATCTGTCTGGATTTAACTAACAACGCAAAATGTTTACTTTATTCTGATTTATGTATGTCGATATCGTGATATTCGCATGTCTGTCCATGTTTGTCAATCTATCTTCCAGTTCCAAGCTCCATTCACAGAAATTTATGAATGAAAACAATTTATAGATGTGAAACCGCACTGACCACGTCTGCTTGAGATTTTTATAGATTGGCTTTTTATATCGTTTGTGTACCTTTGTGAACAAAAACTTATGGGTACCATTTGATATATAAGGTTAGATCAAATAATTAGACATGTTGTACAAAGAGAACTGACAGGATGTCGTCTGCTGTTTACACTTTTCAAAATGGCAAATGAAAATAAGAGGAAGCTAAATTGGACAGAGAGCGAGCTTAATGCATTAACAGATGGTATTTCAGCTAATATTAGCTTGCTGAAATGGAAATTCAGTTTGTCCGTTACCAATGAGGCCAAAAACAAATGTTGGGCAGGGATAACAGAGAGGTACATGTACGATTAGACTATTTTTTACAATGATTTGAGATCCCATTTAAATTCATCTGTCATATTTATTAAGATGTTAGATAAACATAAGTCACTGAAAGAGTGATTTCAAGAATACTCGCATATAAATGAAACCTGCCAAAGCTTGCCTTCTGTGCCTTTTTGATTGTTTGTAATTATTATTTCATTGCTCACTATCACCCTTTATTCTTAAGAAGGGATGGGGTTGAAAAAAGTGCCAAGGTTAGGGGTGCTGTCCCCTTTCAAATAAGTATTAAAGCAGCCAGTTTAATAAAAAGATATTGAGAAGGTTAAACCCTGATTATTAAAAGGGGAGTCACAACATGTTTAATTTAAATATAGATCTATCTATACATCACATGTAGTATGTACATAATAAAAAAAAATAAGTATTTATATTCATAGTTTAAAGTTTCTGATTCAATTGATAATCATAAAAAGTGTTAAGAAAATATATATACTAATTGTCAGAAATTATCAAGTATAGAATATTAAATAGTACAAGAAACGCGCTTTTTCTTCATTTTATTCAACATCTTCAATTGATTTCCAGAGTTAACTCTGTAAACCCTTCAGGCATAAAGCGACAGTTGGCTGATATAAAAAAAAATGGCAGGATATACAAAGCCTGGCAAAGAAGAAAGATGCTGCCAGACTCCAGGCAGTCAGGAGAACAGGAGGAGGACCACCACCAGAGGATACGTTAAAATCCTGGGAAAAAAATGTGAGTACACACATATAAATGTAAGAAGATTAGGTATGATTGCCAATGAGACTAATCTCCATCCAAGACATAAAGTAGTAATACATTGTACATGTACAAGCAGTTATAGGTCACAGTAAGGCCTTAATAAACTTGAACCTTTGACTCCATTTTTAGTATGTTTTGATGATAAATGTTATATGACATCCTTACAGTTAATACTCACAAATTTGATTACAGACAGTCATTTTTCTAACCATTCATCTTCTTTTTTTTTTTGGGGGGGGCATGATTTTTTTAAATGTTGTTGTAGAAGACATTATTTGTTTCAGAAGAGAAGCAAAATGGTTTGTTTCCATTAAAAATGTCTTTCATATTTAGAGGCAGTTTCTTCTATAAGAAGTTGATACATAAATTTCAAGTACATGTTTGTATGTTCATTTTATTTTGTAAATTTTACCTTGCTGATCATTTTAGCTGTTCAAGTTTCTCTTTAAATATTACTTTTCTTAAGATACTAGTAAATAAGACACAAAAATGAACAAAATTCAGACATTGACAGGGTAATGACTCTTGTAATGGACAGGTCATTTGTAACTCCAAAAACTCTGGAATAGGAGGAAATCAAGGGGCCTTTAATTATTTTTGTAATGGAAAGGTGGTATTCAATTTTTTATATTTATAAATTTGCGGCCGTATAAGGGTAAGGCCATGTCGTCCGAAGACATTTGTTTGCCAGACAATAACCTGAGTATAAGTGTATGGATCTCTATCAAATTGTACCACAAGGTTCCACACTACAAAATGATGTTTGGGATTGACTTTTGGGGTTATTGTCTTAACTGTTTAGGAACAAGGGACCAAAACAAGCATTTTTCTTGTTTCAGGACAATCGCTTGTGTATGGATCTCTATGAAATTGTACCACAAGGTTCCATACCAAAAAACGAGGAGTTTGTCGATTATTTTGGGAGTTATTGCTTTAACCGTTAAGGAATTAAGGGCCAAAAACAATACTTTTCTAATACTGTACAAATTGCTTATTTCTTGACCAATTTAAATGGGGTATAATTCAAAGTCTTGCATTCTTGTGGTCCTTTAATATGCTTAATTTAATGGTGTAAATTATTTTGTTTTTTTGGACCTCGTTGGGACCGAAATTGAGGTTCAAAGGGTCCAAAATTAATCTTTGTTTGATTTCATCAAAAATTGAAATATTTGGGTTCTTTGATATGCCGAATCTAATCGTGTATTTAGATAAAAAAAAATGTGAGCCCCGTTTTGAAAAAAGTCCACTTTATGGTCCAAATTAAACTTTGTTTGATTTCACCAAAAATTGAATTATTGTAGTTCTTTGATATGCCGAATCTAACCGTGTATTTAGATTTTTTAGTCCCCTACCGACGAAGTCGAAGGGGACTTTAGGTTTGCACTCCGTCCATCTGTCTGTCTGTCTGTCTGTTCATCTGTCAGTCCGGCAAATCAGCTTTCCACACTTTTTTTCTTCGTTCTTA